TAGAACAGCTTTGATTATGCCACTTGTGCTTACACATAGGCTTCAAAGCTATGGCTACTATAATCCAGTTGAAGTCAAGAGAGTTACACCAGAGATAACTTTTACCTCTGATATCTTCCAGGAATGTTGGGGAGTAATAAATGTATCAATCATTTGTATTATAATGGTATGCATAAATGTATTCCTGTCCGTATATTTATGAGTTCAATAAATGTTCTTGATATTAGTCTAATATAGATACAGTGGTCTAGCTAGGAACTTGGATATTTGGGCCCTTTATTCTCCTTATATGGAAAAGCCATTGCCTACCTTCTGTGTGAGAGGATATTCTGCTGCCCGCTGCATGCCCCATATAGAATAAGGAATATTCTAACAACATAAGCACCCTGAGCAAGTGTTTCTCAGAAGTAGGAGGGCTGCAGAATAGGGTCCTTAGTTTGCTGTTACTTAGGGTCTGATTGTAATGCCCTTATTTATATGGAGTAGCACTTCACTCCACAAGTGGTCCAGTAGGGCTAGTCATGAGGTAAGGTGTTACCCTTTCTTGTGTTGACTATCACAGTCTGATCCTTAGCAAACTGTTATTTAGCCAATGTTCTAGTAGGCATAACAGAGAGAATTTAGGTGAATGGAACTAAGAGTATAGCAGCAGAACAAATTTAGAAGACAGTAAAGGATTTAATTAGATAATGGAGGGGATTTTCAAAGGAGCCTAAGGGAGTTAGGTACCAACCCTTGGTTCCTCTGAAAATCCTAGCCCTTGACTACTTTCTTGGGCTATAAAAGGAACTGAAACAGTTGGATATGAGCATCTGTGGGACAACACTGATGTATTTAGCACATGAATCCCCATAAGTCTGTCTGTATGTACATGACCTTGTTCAGGCTGTCATAGGGATTGTGCCTACTTCCACTGAAGGAACTGAAATTTTTGCCATTAATTTCAATGCAAACAAGATTGAACCTTTAATGTCCTTTTAATTTCCTGTTGCCAATTCACATAATACTTACAAAATATAACATCCCCTAAAACCAGTAACTTACAACAGAGTGAAAATATATCTCCGACAATATTATGTACAGATAAAACTACAGTATTATAGTATCACACCTGAATTTGCCTCCCACCAAAAAAGTAACTAACTTTAGACGATATACTTCTCAGGATTTAAAGTTCAAGCTACACAAGATACTCAGCGAGAGACACTTGCCCATAAAATGAGACCCTAAGTTTTCATGGTAGTGCATAGGGAGTATGTTTAACTTGGTAACTTTTGCTGATAGTCGTACCACTACATCTCTGTGCATTGCTTTGAAAATGTAACCTATTATAAAATTCAACATCACACCTTTTGTGCCATAATGTTACTTTATCAAAATAGAAGATTTTGTTATTTTATCACAATCTTGGGGTAGATAGCTCCCAGCATCCGGTGACTGCACAGGATAGCTGTATTATCACCAGTCTCAAGAATGTTCAAAAAACATCACGTCCTAGAAGGAAACATACATTAGAAAAATGCCATTAGATGTGTTTAGATATACACTATAGGTCCTTTCCCTGAACAGTTATATTATCATTTTAGCCATTGCCACATAGTGCTACTTCCAGTTTGACTGGCCATTGTTGGTATGTGTATTTGTAGTGATCATAGTTATTACATAATGTTTGTACTGCTATTAGCCACCATAAGTAAGTGGCAGTGGCATTCTCATGCAACTCTCAACTCTCATGCAGGGCACAATTTTGCACAAGTTTGTGATTGCAGCACAGGCTAGTGGAGATACTAAAGTGGTTGATCCTACATTCAGATATTTTACAACATGGAGGGCAATATATGTTCCAAGATTGGAAAGGCAGAACCAACATAGCATCTGAAACCTTTATTAAATGACTGAGTTCAGACTGTAAGATTTTTGGGGCAGGGACTGCCTTCTGTGATGTGTTTGTATAGTTCCTAGCATATTGGTGCCCCGATACACAACTGGCATTCTGAGGCACTACAAATATATAAATAAATAATAATGGGAGATAATTATTAGGGTGAATTTTCTGATGTAATGGAGTCATTTGCATTGCACTGACAACATAAACCAGCCCTGACACCAGCTTAACCAACCCAGGGACAATCACCCCACTGTAAGAGCCAACACAGAGCTTCATATACCTCTCAATTTTGCTACTTCTGGCATAGCAGGGAAAGAGGAGAAAGGCTGGCACTCCCTGTGCTATACTGAAACTCATTGGCGTTTTGGTTCCTGTGGCTCTTGCAGCCAGCATAAAGTGATGTAGTGGACAGGGCCAGGCAATGCAAAGGTAAGCTTAAAGCCACTTTTGCATACACAACCCATGGCCCTCTACGCAGCTTAGACACACTTCAGCATCGAGCTCTGTTGTTTTGAGTGTGTGTGTGTGGGGTGACGTTCCCCTCTGGTGTTGTCTGGACCGGTGATTGTTGGGTCGCCCTCAAAGTTATATAAGTATGATAGAATTATAATTATGTAGTGGTAGAAATAAAGATAGTCAAAAGAGTATATAGGTATTGTAAAAAGGTATGAACATCAGTTCCATGCTGTTGAATTTCACTCTGTAACAAATGCAAGGCCAAAGTGCTAATTATTTCAGGCCAGTACAGGACAAAGAGTCTGTGCTGGAAAGTGATAAGTACTTTGAGGAAACAATGCTGTTCTTTAAAACTATGCTCTTCCCCCGCGGGGGCCCCTTGTCATGCCTATGTAAATCTTGGTATCCAAAGAGGGAAAAATAGATAGTGGGATAAAACTTGTTAAATGAATCAAGAGTCATAGATTGTGTTGTTAAGTAAAAGAATGAATGATGCATGGAATTGAGAGCCTGAAGCAGGGAAATAATTGGTTAGTAAATGGTGCCAGCCTAATGCTAAGAATTTCAACCTTGATATCGATGGGCCGAAGAATATGCAAAGTGGAGATAACCGGATGACCCCCGGGGGGGCTAACCGGAATCCACCCAAAACGCATCAAGGAAGAACAAGAAGATAACACCTAGCCGTCATGGATGTACCACCTGCTGATTTAGCTGATGGATGGTCATGTCAATTGTAAATTCAGCATGATGAAACAACTTCCATAGACTTGTATTGAACCAGAGACCTATAAAAATTGGGTCCAGGGACTGTGTTCTTTGAGTCTGGTTCTACGACCACCCTCCAGGAGCATCGGATGCGCATCTGACAACGACTCAGCTCCACTCTCGTGTCCAGGCCACCTGGCCAGTGACTTGGCACGAGCAACATCTAGGATGGTAACTATAACAACCTTTATGTAGAACCTGTGTGTGAATGTGTGTGTGAATGGATCTATATAGAAATTGCATATAGGAATATTTTGTTGTATTTACAATAAACGTGGCAATTTGCCTTGTCCCTCTTACAAGATGTCAAGGTTCCTCCCACACTCTGAACTCTAGGGTACAGATGTGGGGACCTGCATGAAAACCTCCTAAGCTTACTTTTACCAGCTTAGGTTAAAACTTCCCCAAGGTACAAATTAATTTTATCCTTTGTCCTTGGAATATCCACTGCCACCACCAAACTCTAACTGGGTTTACTGGGAAACATAGTTTGGACACGTCTTCCCCCCAAAATCCTCCAAACCCTTGCACCCCACTTCCTGGGAAAGGTTTGGTAAAAATCCTCACCAATTTGCATAGGCGACCACAGACCCAAGCCCTTGGATCTGAAAACAATGAAAAAGCATTCAGTTTTCTTACAAGAAGACTTTTAATAGAAATAGAAGTAAATAGAAGTAAAGAAATCACCTCTGTAAAATCAGGATGGTAGATACCTTACAGGGTAATTAGAGCTTGTGTGTGTGTGTGTCCGTCCCCGGGAAAAGGGGGGGGGGTGAGAAAGCCTGGATTTGTGCTGGACATGGCCCACCTTGATTACCATGCACACTGTAGGGAGAGTTGTCACTTTGGATGAGCTATTACCAGCAGGAGAGTGAGTTTGTGTGGGGGGGGGGGGGGGTGGAGGGTGAGAAAACCTGGATTTGTGCTGGAAATGGCCCAACTTGATGATCACTTTAGATAAGCTATTACCAGCAGGACAGTGGGGTGGGAGGAGGTATTGATTCATGATCTCTGTGTGTATATAAAGTCTGCTGCAGTTTCCACGGTATGCATCCGATGAAGTGAGCTGTAGCTCACGAAAGCTCATGCTCAGATAAATTGGTTAGTCTCTAAGGTGCCACAAGTACTCCTTTTCTTTTTTCAAAACACAGAGAATCCCTCCAGGCAAAACCTTAAGTTACAAAAAAGACACAGACAGAAATAGTCATTCTATTCAGCACAGTTCTTTTCTCAGCCATTTAAAGAAATCATAATCTAACACATACCTAGCTAGATTACTTACTAAAAGTTCTAAGACTCCATTACTGTTCTATTCCCAGCAAAAGCAGCATATAGACAGACAGAGACCCTTTGTTTCTCTCCCTCCTCCCAGCTTTTGAAAGTATCTTGTCTCCTCATTGGTCATTTTGGTCACGTGCCAGCGAGGTTACCTTTAGCTTCTTAACCCTTTACAGGTGAGAGGATTTTTCCTCTGCCCAGGAGGGATTTTAAAGGGGTTTACCATTCCCCTTATATTTATGACACAAGATCCTGTTGGTATCATTTTTATTAGTGTACCATGATCTGCTAGGCCACTCCAATCCTTGACTCTAGGAGCCAGCCTTACCCTGCTCTGCCGCGAGAACCCCCACTCCTGGGTGTTCACACACAGCCTCTGGCATGTAAGCTGCTCCCAGCTACTTGCAAGCGAATGACACTCGCCAATATCTCCGGTCCCAGGAACAACCCTATGAACCTCCGTCTTTCAATGTCCAGTTATGCCCACTGGATGCTGCAAGATTATATTAATTCATCAATTTAACAAAGAAATCAATATGTACCAGGCTTGTTCTCCCAAGGGGAGTCTCTGTCTCCCAAGGGGAGTGCAAACCAAATGCACTGCTTCAGGTAGAATAAACAAACAGATTTATTAACTATAAAGGTAGATTTAAGTGATTACAAGTCAAAGCATAACAAATAAGATTTGGTCACATGAAATAAAAGCAAAACACATTCTAAGCTGATCTTAACATTTTAAATGTCCTTTCAAACTTAGATGCTTCTCACCAGAGGTTGGCTCTTCAGCCAGGCTCTCCCCTTTGATCAGTGGTTCAGTCGCTTGGTGGTGGTGGTGTCTGTAGATGTAGGTGAAAGAGAGAGAGCATGGCAAAATGTCTCTCCCTTTTATCATGTCCTTTCTTTCCTCTTGGCTTTGCCCCCAGCCCCACCCTTCAGAGTCAGGTGAGCATTACCTCATCACAGTCCCAAACTGCCCAAAGGAAGGGGGTGACTCCCTGGAAGGTCTAACAGATTCTTTTGTTGCTGCCTAAGCCAGTGTCCATTGTTCCTGTGAAGCTGGGCTGGGTTTGTCCTATCCATGCCCTGACGAGGTGTAAACTACCTCTCTGTTCTTGGAGAGTTTTTGCATGGGCTTGCTGTAAGCCATGAGGATACATTTTTTCAGCCTCATAACTATATACATGAAATTATAACCTATAACATTACTATAACATTTCTATAATCACCATGCTCGGTGCATTATGAGCCTTCCGAAGACACCAAACATGACAAACTTTGCATTGGATACCACATAATCATTTTATAAAGATGAACATGGAGGTGTAGGGTGTTCCCCCAAGGTACAGAGCATCATGGGGGAGGGAGGGGAGGTTGTTTCCTTGGTTGTTTTTTGTTTTAAGTTTAAAGCCAAACAGAAATAGAAAAGTTGGGAATCATGAAAGGGTTATTTAAAAGGGACTAACACTGCTAAGGTAAAAAAAACTGAAGCGTAAAGGCTGTAAAAAGAAGTCAATTATATTGGGATGATAGCTGGCAGAGCTCAATAAAGATGTAATTCAGATTGAAATTGAAAACAATTAACTGGAGTTTGACTTTCATTTAACATAAAACAAATATTTATGAATATGATAAAATTGTAAAATTATTTGCTTTGGAGGTGCACTCAACTGGTGCTTCTCCACTTTATTTTATGGGAGCAAGTATCATACCCTTAGTTAAATAAAAAGGAACTAAATACCCTGTTAATTCAGAGAACCAGTGGAGGGAAAACAATACTGCATTCAGTAAACATTCTTTTCAATATTACAGATAATAGAAGTCACAATCAAGCGAAAAAAATGCTGCAGTTAACAGACGAATGTAACAAAAATGGATGAGCTACAGAAGAATATTATGAATAGTCCTACTAGTGAACATGCAATACAGGCATGATTCCAGAACTATCACACTGTAAAACCACCTCTCAGGGCTTGCCAAATAGCTACTTAATTTTTAAAAAGATATTTAAAAGAAAATTTGCCACACCGATACTGGCACTAAATCAGAGATACATTAGGTTTTTTTCCAGTTTGTTTTCCTCTCTCCCTCCTTCTCCTGAGATAAGCAAAATCATCATTTTTTCTAAAAGGAGGAGAAATCCAGCAGGATCTAAATCCTGTTGCCCACGTCTGTTACTACTGAATAATGAATAAGAACAATTGTACATAATACAAGCCAGGAACCTGGATCTTGCCTTTATATCCTCTGTGGATGGAGAGTTACATTTCAAGTACAGCTGGGGATGCTTTGATTGATGTAGAGAAAATTCCCAGGTGATGTTGTCAGGGTTCCCTCCCCCACTCTGATCTCTGGGGTACAGATGTGGGGACCTGCATGAAAGATCCCCTAAGCTTATTTCTACCAGCTTAGGTTAAAACTTCCCCAAGGCACAAATCCCTTCTTGTCCTTGGACAGTATTCGCTGCCACCACCAAGTGAGTTAGACAAAGATTCAAGGAAAAGAACTACTTGGAGTTTCTGTTCCCCAAAATATTCCCCCCAAACCCCTTCACCCCCTTTCCTGGGGAGGCTTGAGAATAATATCCTCACCAATTGATACAGGTGAGCACAGACCAAATCCCTGGGTTTTTAGGACACTAAAACCAATCAGATTCTTAAAAAAATCAGAACTTTATTATAAAGAAAAAAAGAGTAAAAGAAGCACCTCTGTAAAATCAGGATGGAAGGTAATTTTACAGGGCAATCAGATTCAAAACACAGAGGAGTCCCCTCTAGGCAAAACTTTAAAGTTACAAAAAAACAGGGATAAACCTCCCTCTAAGCATAGGGATAATTCACAAGCTAAATCAAAAGATACTCTAACGCATTTCCCTGCTATTACTTACTATTCCTGTAATTTTAGATGTATCATTCAGAAGGAGCTGGATTACTTCCTTGGTCTCTCTCTTTGTCTCGGAAGGAACACACACAGAGCACAAAAACAAAGCTTTGCTCCCGCCCCCAGATTTGAAAGTATCTTCTTTCTCCATTGGTCCTTCTGGTCAGGTGCCAACTAGGTTAATTGAACTGATTAACCACTTACAGGTAAGGGGATTCTGTACCTCTGGCCAAGAGGGATTTTATATTACTGCATACATAAAGGTTGTTACCCTTCCTTTTATATTTAGACAGATGTAAAGCTGGTGGTTCCTTCACTCCTGGGAAGAAATGAACTGAGATGGAAAGCAGTCCACTCAGGCAATTCTCACACAGCAGAATGATCCCAAGGGGAACACTCCATATGGAGTGATTTAGAACAGCCCTTAAGCTGCTAAAAATTATGAAGGGGAACATTTTGTCCTCCAGCTAACTCCAGAATTGAGAAAGCTTAAAGCCACATTTCCCCCAAACCTCTGTGGGTTGGCTGGACCCAAGTATCTGGTCCTATGATTTAAGCATCAGAATATATATTACCTTGGATAATATAGCAGTCATGCTTTGTTTTGGCACCATCAACAGCAATGCTGAAAGAGGTTATTACACATTTTTAATGTGACTATGTTTGAAGTGATGCTTGTGCAGCATCTTCACTCAAAGAGGAAAAGGGACCGGGGCAAGTTAGGTGTGGCTACCTGTTGGCTGTGTTAATCAGTAATGATTGCAGGGAATATTTTTATAAGTATATATTCTGGCTCTCATGCAGGAGTTAAAACAAATATACACTCATCAGATGTAAACATCTGCAAAACTACTTCAAACCTCTTCATCCTACTTCAAAATCCTTCTTGAAACTCTTATTTACCATGAAGCCTACAAAGAATGGCTAGGTTATGGATGTGCTGAGATCACAACCTATCATGCTGACAAGTGAATTCTCATGGTTTCCTTGTACTCCCACCTCAGTCTGTCTGCATCCTCTGTGCCTTGTCTTATATGTAGATTGTCAGCTTTTTGGGGTAGGGACTGTCTTTTTGTTTTCTGTTTGTATAGGACCCAGCACACTGGCATCCTGGTCCATGACTGAAACTCCAAGGCACAACGGTAATGCAAATAGTAAAAAATAATAATATGGGCATTATGCAGAGGAGTCCTATGGCTCATCGGCCTTTTGTTATTTCAGCAGAGTCATTGTCACATTTAAAAAGGTTGAATAACTAAACAAAAGGAATGTATTTTGAGAAAAGTGAACAAGTAATTAGAATAGACTTGTCAACAATATCACACAGATGGAGGCACTCACACAAAAATGCCACCCTTAGCATGTAATAAGAATCTGGGACTGAGAAGCAAGTGTGTGCTTGTGAGAATAGGGGCTCGGAACTGACAAATGTATTCATTTGTTTACCCAGTTCAAATAAAAATGCTTATAAACCATAATCAAAAGGAGAAGACAAAACAGTTGAAAACTGATTATATAAAAATAGCGTCATGGGGTCTTATGTCTGTTTCTCCCTATTTCCATACTAATTTGCTGAGTTTACAAATAAATTAACCTACCAAGTCTTCTTAAATACCTCTGATAGCTAGTGCCTAGGCCAGTGGCCGGGAAGAGGAGTGATGATATTACCAGAGCAAAAAGAGAGGGAAATCATTAACTGTTCTGACTTTTTTCTTTTCTCTCTAAATATGTTTACCTAACTGCCTTGGTTCTACGATCAACTGTAATTATTGAGCAAGTGAAAGAGGATTCACTCTAAGGTACAAGCCGCCATACAGTTATGTTTCCATCATACTACAAAGAATCAAAAATTCATAAAAAAAAATGAGTTTGAAGGTCACTATATGATCCAGCTTTTAAAAGAGTTAAAAAGTGGCCTATCAATAACTGTAACAAATTTTAACCCAGAACACCAAAATCTCCCTCATGTTCTAGGTAAGTGGGACAAGTCTATTTTTAAAAAGGGTTTAGGTCTGCTTTAATTTTGCTTGGGTAAACTGCTAATTCTGAAAGACTACCAGCTGTATACAATGTCTTTAGGAATCACTTTTGCCAGTATCAGTTAGCACATAGTTAAATTACAGTGAGGCACTCTACTTCTGTTGGGCAAATTTGCATCTGGATTGTGAGATGCGGATGAAGATAGTGGAAGAAACAGACCTTTCATTTACACCTCTGCTCTCATATAATGTTATTTTCTTTTATATAGTTGAAATATATTATAAACATCAAAATATGAATGCTAATATCTATTTTATCATAATTAAACAAAATATAGGATTACAGTGTTTAATATACAATATATAGATATTACAGAGAGAACTGAAATTTTTATATATATATTTAAAAATAAAACATTGACAAAGTTAAAAAATCTGCCCTTGTTGTAGGATCAACTGTAGTTTTGTGCAAGTGACAGAGGATTACTCCCAGTCTTCCAGTACTATAAAAGATCTTCTACAAAGTGCTCACAAGAATAAAGAAATCATTTTTGCAGTTCATATTCTAGTCAGGGAAGATTCACAAACATTTCACATTATTTATACAGATCTAATCTATATTATATCAGAGGTATAGAATTGTATTTGCAATATCAAAACAATAAAATAGGGCAATAGAAACCCTAAGTTACAAAAGAAACTAGCAATAAGCAAAAGATCCATACATGTTCTATATATACTGGATTTTTTAAATATATTTTAGAAAAAGAGCACAAAGCCGTGTGAAACTTTTCTATGTAAGCACGTTTTAAGCCCAACAATAGATTCTACTGCCACACTCCTGCTCGCTGGTTCTTATTCCCAGTTTGTTCAAAAAACATGAAATCCTAAACAGCAAAGAAAATGAACATAGAATTAGATAGTTCTAAGAGGCCAGGTATGTAGATCAGAGTCATCTTAATGCTTTTAGAGATTATTCTGAGAACTAAAACTTCATGGGGGTTTTAAATTCTATTTTGCAGAAAATACAAAATAATGCTCTCTTCCCCTTGGGTCATTTGATACAATCTTCAAAGTTTACTTTCCTAAGAACACATGCTGTGTCAGTGATAAAAGTACGAATAAGGATTTCTGAACAAACATAGTTGCTGTGTGCCAAATAAAAGTAGCCAAACATAAAAAAGTTTATTTTTAGTTTACCATTTAAAAAGTGAAAATTGACGATTTTTTTGTACTAAGAATAGGAAAAACGATCTGAGCTTACCTGAAAGTGTACTTTTTTTTTAGGTAATATCCATATATCTGTTATTTACATACTCCAGCCTGCTTGCAGGTTGGGAACAGAGCCAGACCTGTCAGTCATTAGCGGAGCTGGGGGAGGTGGGGACGGGAATGCCCCACCTCTTAATTTCTTTCTTGTTGAGACAACTTTTACACAAGCATAATTCCATCTTTCTTTCCTAAATTACAGATGCTTTAATTATATTCTCCGTGTGGTGGTGGTGAGTTTCTCCTGGTAACAAGGTGTGTAGAGAGCCAGGCAGCCTAGTTGTTGGAGCGCCTGATGTCCGGCCCCTTATTTCCTTGGTTAAGGTGCCTCAGTCTTTCAGGCAGTGGGGCTAGGAGGACCTGGGCACCCCCATTTCCACCGAGTCCCAGCCCAGGGCCCTGTGTGAGCGGACCACTGAACAGGGGGTTCTTTGAGGAGGGATTCTAAATCCACTGCTCTGGGCTACTTCCTACCAGAGTCCATTTAGTTTGGGGCATGGCCCCTATAGTCCAATATGCTAGGGTGGCTTGCCGCCCAGGTCGCCCTCTTGTGGATCTTGGGTGGTGCCCTACTGCAGTTCCAAGCTCTTTCAAGAGGAGCAGCCATCAATTTGGTACTGCCAAACTCCACAATGTCTCTGGGTTGCAGTCAGACAGATACTTCAGTTGCCATTACAGTTACTAAAGGCTCCTAGGTCTCCTCCGCTGTCTCTCTTGGCTGGGAGTCAGAACATGCTCCCTGTTGGCTGCCTTGGCCGGCAGGCTACTGCTCCTTCCTGTCTTTGCCAGTCAGCCCTGAACTAGGCTAGACTCTCCTTTTTTACCCGCTCCAGGCCTGGCATTAGCTGCAGGTATAATAGGGTAGGGCTAGCAGGGCTCAAAGGTTCTTCTTAGCTCCTGCTGTGCTGGCAGGCAGTTTCTCTGCATTATCACACATTCCCCCATCCCCATAACCTCATCTGGAATCTGACCTCCCCAATCTGGTCTCCTCCACCTTGTGAAAAGAAGTCAGCATTCAGGTGTGCTTTGCTAGCCTGGTGTTGGATGTAGAAAGAAAAGGGCTGGAAGGACAGGTACTAACGCATAATTCAGGAATATTATCCTTCATGGCCTGTAGTCATTGGAGAGGGGAATGGTCAGCGACTAGCATGATGTGAGCACCCCGAAGGTAGTAGCAGAGCTAGTTGATAGCCCATTTTACTGCTAATGCTTCCTTTCCAATCATGGAGTAAGCCCTCTCTCTTGGGAACTGCTTCCAGCAGATATATAGGATGGGGTGCTCATCACCTTCCATTACTTGGGATAAAATGGTCCCTATGCCCACGCCCGAAGAATTGGTCTGCAGCAGGAATAACTTGGTGAAGTCAAGGCTGTAGAAGACGGGTTTTCAGCAGAGCTGGGCTTTCAGGGTTTGAGAAGCCTCCTCACAACCTTTGGTTCTTCTTTGGACTACCATTCTTGAGAAGATCGGTAAGAGGGGCCACAATGGTTGAGAACTCAGGAATAAAATCAGTGGTATCAGCCAGTCCTAAAAGACGGCACACCTGTTTCCTTGAGGAAGGCATAGGGCATGTCTGGAGGGCTTGGATCTTATTGACCAAGGGTTGCACTTTGCCTTTTCCTAAAGTGTATGAAAGGTAGGTTGTTTCATCCTTGCCCAGGTGACATTTCCTTCTTTACTACAATCCAAGAACGATCTAAAGCAAAAGGGAAGGAGGGTGGGTAGTGAAATACATATAGGGATCTCACATCATGAAGAACCTCTCTTTGTCTTTGAGTGTTGGTCCCTATGTGTACTCCACTGTGGATGACAGACAAGCAATACTCACGTAGGAGGAGGGTGCAAGGTTGCAGGTGGCAGAGCTGTCTGAATCCCCATCATCCCAAAAGATGCGTCAGTGGAGGAGTCCTGTACTAAAGCATATCACCTCACAAATGTGTGGTTGGAAATCCAAGTAGCTGCTCTGCAAATGGGACGCAGAGGTACTTCTAGAAGCAACAGCACCGATGTTGCTTGTGCTCTTGGAGAATAAGCCCACACCCCATGAGAAGGATGAATATTAGACAGCTTATAGCAGGGTAAGAAATAGACCAGGATCCATTTAAATATCCCCTGAGAAGACATAGCTTGACCTTGAACTCTTTCTGCTACAGCAATAAACAATCTGGGAGATATTCTGATTGGTTTTGTCTCTTGCAGGTAAAAGGACAAGGGCTGGTCTACACTGAGAGTTTACATCAGCATAACCACTTCTCTCAGAGGTGTAAAAAATTCACACCCTTAAGAGACACAGTTATACCAACCTAACCCCCGGCGTAGACAGCGCTAAGTCGATAGAAGAATTCTTCTGTCAATCTAGCCACTGCTTCTCGGGGAGGTGGATCAACTACAGCAATGGGTGAACCCCTCCTGTTGCTATAGTGAGTGTCTACGCTGAAGTGCTACATAGGCGCAGCTGCATCACTGTAGCATTTTAAGCCTAGACATACCCTAAGGCTCATCACGTATCGAGGGAATGAAGTCTCTTCTCTTCTTCAGAGGCATGTGGTTTTGGGGGAAAAAAGAACAACCGCAGGTAAGCGAACTGACGAGTTCAGATGAAACTCTGAAACTACTCTGGGGGTGAACTTGGGATGTAAATGCAATGGGACTTTGTCTTTAGGGAATATAGTGTAAGGCAGATCTGCCATCAGTGCTCTGAGCTCAGCCACCCTCCTGGCTGAAATGATGGCTACCACAAATGCAATCTTCTTCTATCCATGAGACATGGAACACATATCTAGTGGTTCAAAGGGATAGCGAGCACTGAAAGAACAAGATTTAAAGTCCATTGAGGAGTAAGTTTCCTTATTGGCAGAAAGACTCTGAGCAGACCCTTCCAAAAACTGGTAGTCAATGCAGGAGCAAAAATTAAGTAACCATGTGAAGGTGGGTGGTACACAGTGATTGCTGCCAGGTGGTTCGTAAAGAGTTGCCGGAAAGACCCACTGTTTTGAAGGGGGGCGGCGGGGGGAGTCCAAAATAAGGGGAATACCTGTAATCTCTGGGGATATACGTTTTTGTTGCTCCCACGAGATAAATGCTTCCATTTGTCAGTGTAGCATTTTCTAGTGCAATCTTTTTTACTGGTAATAAGAATGCTTCGCATAGCTTCAGAACACAAATGCTGTATTATTTACACCTATCCAAAAACCAAGCCCTGAGATGGAGTGCTTGGGAGATGGGATGCTTGATGTTGCCTTTCCCTGGGTCAGGAGATTGGAAGAAGACTGAATGTTGATCAGCGACAGAGACAATATGCATCAGAGACTTGGGAACCAAAACAGTCTGGGTCACTGGAGGCTGATGATGATGACTTGTGCGTTGTCTTGACAAAATATTCCATAAGACCTGAGGTGGGAGTGGTAAGGGAGGGAAGGCATAGATGGTTTGACCATGGAAAGAGGAGATTGTTGCCCTGAGAGAAGATGACTATGGCTTCTCTGGAGCAGTATGTTGCAATTTGTTCATTTGAGAGGCAAACAGGTCCCTTGCAGGGGTTCCCCACAGAGCAAAAATACTGTCTACCATGGAGTCATGTAATTCTCATTTGTGGTTCATAGCAAAGTGTCTGTTGAGGGAGTCCACCGGCGCATTCTGATCCCCTGGAAGGTAAGTTGCCAACAGGGTGATTTGATTGCTGTTGCGATATTTCCATAGGGTGACTGCTTCTGCACACGGGGGAAAGGATCTCACTTGTCCTTTCTTGTTGATGTAAAAATCAGTTGTCATATTGTCCGACATGATGAGGATATGGATATCTTGAATGAACGGGAAAAAGGCTTTGCAAGCTTCCTGGACTCTCACTTTCAGATTGCTGATGTGAATCCTGGTCTCTTGTGAAGTCCAAGTGCCCTGCACTGCAAGCCCCCCAGCCTAAAAGAGATGCATCTATAATGATATCCCATCTACTGAGGGGGAAAGGAATGGCACACTCATGCATACCTGCTGGGGATTCCTCCATCATAGCAGAGATGATGTAAAGAAATAAGAAGCGATGGATGGAAATGGACAGAACAGAGTCTGTCTGGGCAAAAATTACATTGGGGAAGAAAACTATTAGAGCCTCCCCGGGATAGTGTTTGGGGTGTGCTATAGACCGCTGGGATCTAATTTGGATATGGATAGAGTCCTTTTTAATGTTTTTAATAAAGTAAATACTAATGGAGAATGTGTGATCATGGGAGGCTTTAACTTCCCAGATATAGACTGGAGGACGAGTGCTAATAATAATAATAATAGGTCTCAGATTTTCCTAGATGCGATAGCTGATGGATTCCTTCATCAAGTAGTTGCTGAACCGACTAGAGGGATGCCATTTTAGATTTGGTTTTGGTGAGTAGTGAGGACCTCATAGAAGAAATGGTTGTAGGGGATAATCTTGGCTCAAGTGATCATGAGCTAATTCAGTTCAAAGTGAACAGAAGGATTAACAAAAATAAATCTGCAACTAGGGTTTTTGATTTCAAAAGGGCTGACTTTCAAAAATTAAGGAAATTAGTTAGGGAAGTGGATTGGACTGAAGAATTTATGGATCTACAGGTAGAGGAGGCCTGGGATTATTTTAAATCAAAGCTG